AAAACGTGTCTCGACCCCTAAATACAGTGTAAAATGTAACTTGCAGCTCAAGCAAGCAACCATGCATGCTTGGTAACCTTATGTTTATTATTATTATTATTGTTATGTCCTTCTGTAGATGTATTTTACCTAGCTTATGCTACGTTTGAAGCTCGTGGATAGTATAAAATACTAAAACTGAACTAAAACATATATATTATCAGAAAAATGGACGATGCACTCACATTTGTACAGCATATTGACGCCTATCTTATTGACAATCAGGTTGTCTACCGATAGTAAGATCCTGAGATACAAAAAGGGCATCAGATTAATCTTCTATCATGAAAGTTTATTATCACGCTAGAGTCATGGTTACTTCAATTTCACCCACTTGAGATTCATGATCACCTGACTAATCCACTACAAAGTCATCAGGCTGCCTACCGATCGTAAGGTCCTGAGGTTAAAGAATAGGAACTAAGACAAGTTTCAGAACATTGTGAGCATACGGTTAAGTTAGCATGTAATAAGTAGGAGTTACCTCGATTACACCGACTTGATGATTAGAGGAAGCCTCCACTGCTGCGTTGTCTTCATTCGTCTTCGAATCCCCATCCATTTTCGAATATCGTCCATATTCTTCGTACCCTAATTCGTACACTTCTCGTCCATATTCTTCGTATCATGATTTGTACTCTTCGGATCCTCGTCCATATTCTCCGTACCCTGATCCGTACTCTTTGAATCCTCGTCTATATTTTTCGATTCCTCATCCGTCTTCGGAACCTCATCAGGCCTTTGGTCCTCATCAGGTCTTTGATCCGAGGGACCATCTCTATCGGGCCCACCTCCTCTACAAAAATATTTACTCGGATCATGGAACTTACCCTGTACAAAAAATTCGACCCATAAGAGTTATTGCAATGAAACATTCAACACTAAAGTGAATTAAGTTTATATAATAAAAAAAATCGTACCTTCGACATTTTCTTAAGGTACCTTCGAATACATTTCAAGGGCTACTTCAATGCCACCCACTCAATTATAAAGACTTGTCAGGGTAGCCTCAATAGCACCAACACGATCACTGAGCCTCATCGACCGTCTACTGATCCTATTGAAATTCTTCTTCTTCGTTCGCTTGTCTGGAACTTGCCCGCCATTTCCTTCTTCATCGACCACGACATCGTCCATTGGAGGGGCCTCTTCTTGAACTTCGTTTTCTATCGGATCCTTTACAATCTTCTTCCCCTTGTCCCTTCCTTCTCTTTCATGGTTTCCCTTTTCCACAGCGGGAGACATTTGAATATCAGGAGGATCAGCTCTTGCGTCAATGTCGTGTCTTGGAGGGGACATAATCAGGCTTCCGATGGATGCATTATACAGTCCACGTGATGTTGCTCAACATCTCTCGACTCCAAATATACCTCAATCATGGACAGCATAAAACCTATCATTCGATCCAAATGAAAAACAAATATTAAGCATACTAGCACTACGCATTACTTACCCACGTGTTCTCGAATACACCACTCGCCAACACACGAAACCCTCGAGAATAAATGCACGATCATCTGAGAATTCAAAGAATGGTGTTGTCGTTCAACCTCATTGTTACCCGTATACTCAATGTCGAGATAGTCTCGTACGCCCATACCTGGAATCTCATAAAATCAAATTAATGATGTAGTTAAATAATCAATTTAATGATACAGTTGACTTAAACCTCACAAATTTGAAAAACACATATGGAAACTCATAGACTATAAGTCTCAACGTGTGCAGGGTCTTTTGTCGCCTTCTGTTGGTACGCCGCTAGTTTATCCTATAGAGCGTTCTTCAGGTCCAAAATGCCCTTTAAAAAAACAGTGTACTCCAATCATAGTTGCAGAACATCTCTCACCAATCTACAATCCCTAACAGATTCATATCCATGTACTGCTTCCTCTCCTTACCCATCATGGCAAGCTCTATGAACTAAACCATTCCAATCCTGTCAACATCCTCGTCGTTGTCAAAACTATGCTCCATAAAAGTAGTCTCCAACTTCGAACACTTAACCCTCACGTTGTCCTTAAAATACTGTACTCTAAGTCTTCGGCTTCGTCATCTAATCTATTCATCCTATGTTAAGCCCGGTGATTAGGTCAAACTCTTGCTTACTAAAAGACACCTTATTCCCCAACAGGTCAAAGCTAATGACATCCTGCCTAGGCTCTTCAACCTCTCTCAACAACAGGTGATTGATCAATAGACCATTAAATACAACGTCCATGTCCAAAATAGGACCAAAACATGTTTGCTTAAACATGTCTGATTTGGTTGGGGTTAACCGGCCCTTAACCCTAGTAGTGGTTTTTTCTATATGGGCAACGTTTGTTAATGAGGCCGGAAACCAGTCATTACGGTTCATCTTAAGTCTCAGATCTGTCGTATCTTTAAAAGAAAGTTAAAATAAGAAAATTAGATAAATGCTACTTCAATTAAGAAAAAAAAAATTTTTTAAATGTCTTCAGTGTTGATAAATTAAACTTTTTACCATTCATCTTGGTACCAAAGGGATATGGACCAGGATGAAAGGTAGAAGGAAGGCTGTTCTTCTGCCTTTCGTCCCGGTCCACGACGGTCTGGGATAAGGTCCTAGATGGAAGGTAGAAGGACAAACTTGATCCTCAATGAAAGAAATGTTATCCCGGATGATATATTCATCAACCCCGGAACGAAATTCACCGGGATTGAATCCGAAAATGCATTTGGGTAGAATCCTTCATTAAATTTTTAAATCTGATACCTACACAACCTAAAATTTAACCTAAAACTACTTGGTTGCTTCAGATAGCATGGAAAATAAAAACCCTAACAACAAATAATGAAAATTTTCGTTAGATTCAAGCCCACTAATCTCACTACCTCCAAGATCAAGACAATGATGATGTTGGCGATGGTGGGTGCGAAACGATGGAAGAGATGGAAGAGATTGATGATTGTGGATAGGTGGGTGTGAAAGTCCCAAATATCGTTCGGGTTGGCATTGTGAGATACAAGATGGGTTTAGGGTTGTTTTAGTATGGGAATGAAGGGGAGACTGCCAGGAAAGATTCGAGAATAGGGAGGGAGGACTTGTGGTTTTTGAAATAGGAGAGTACTACGATAATTTCACTTTTAGAAATTTTGAAAGGGGTCAAAAATAAGGAGGGGTGGGGTCACAAATAAGGATTTTTCAAGAAGAGGTCAAAGATCCAAAGTCAAATATGGAAGGGGTTATAAATCTCAATTTCCCCTTGAACTATTTATTATACAAAGGCCTTTAGATGTTTTAGGCCAACTTAATCATTCTTCTTAGCATTTGTCTTCTACAGTAAAGAATTACATAGAGATTACTACCCTGGGATGGCGTAATGACAAAGATTTAAACCCTTGTGGTATCACCTACTATGAAGTCTTGTGTTCAAGTCCTATGCTGGTCACTGTGTTGCTCCGTCGGACAACGAGCCCTAGTTATATAGTAATCCACAAGCGAGAAAACAAATATTACAGGGAGGGAGGGGAATAATAAGGAAAATGCTTAGGTTCTGATTGGTGAGAACTTATTAATGGCCAACACGCAGTAGTTTCCATCACCTTTTTTAATCTAATATATCACTGATACTATTGCGGAGGGGGAACTCAACAGCCATGTGTGGTAGAGAGACGAGCGAACATCGAACCTTTGGTCGTAAAAGCCATGAGCCGAAGGTCGAACGAGCCCACAATGCAAAACTCTAGTTCCCGCTGGGCCGCCGTCCCTCCATGATCTCTAGAATGCATACAAGTAGTGGTAAAGACTATTAAATACGACAACAATTCTCGAGACGACCTATGATCCAAGGAAGAATTAGTCAGCATTAACGACTTTCCTAAATGACCACGCCCTATAAATCCCAAGTGTAGAGCCAATTCCAAGGTACGTTCGAATCCTTGCTAAGAAGTGAATACACTTAGAGGGATACACTTAGAGGGATCAGAGCCTTCATCCTATCTTGCAGGTACTCTAGTCTACAAAGGGATCGAGTAATCGTTTGTGCGAATATTTCATGCACATACAAATACCATATTGTTAATTTCCTCTATCAATATTGGACCAACGAAACTTTTGATATATCAGTGATATATGGATCAATATCTCCAATATATTCATTCTTGCATGACTTTAAACCAATGAGCTTACACTATACTAGGACAGGGCTAGAAATATAATCGCACTAAACGATATCCTTTTCCCCTATAGGAAAAGTGTATGAATAAGTCCCTTCAGTACAGAATTCGAGACTTGAACAATAAGGCTCACCAATGCACTAGTTCGAGAGAGACTCAACTTATGGTTGGATGTTTAGTAGAAAATCAATAGTATTTAAGGTATAAGATGTAATTACACGAGTAAAATAGACTTTTGGCTTAGCCTTAACCATATGATCATGGGAGTGTTAACTCAACCTCACTGACCAATCACAGAATCTCAGGTCAAGAAGCTTGAAAGAGGGGAGGTCAAGTTCGTGCAAACATTGATGAACTCAATATATGAGGAAAGGTAAGGAAGGAAACACTTCACCAAATACCAAGTGAAGATCAAGCCCTAGTATACAAACTATGGTATTATTTGATCTAGAGAGTGTGAAAAGATGGTATATACTTGGTTACTCTCACTACCATGCACTTCCTTCGGCACAATTCATATGTACAAAAGCAATTGGGGGCATCTACACACTTCAAGCAAAAATTAAGGTTCCATCATTCCCAATCACAAATATAGAATCTTTCGATGCAAAATTGTGGACACATCGTAGTAATCTCTTTATTGACCACTACAACACACGAAAATATGATGCATTTTTCAAAAGAAAAAAATAAAGAAAAATATATTAGGAAAATTATTTGGATTCTACAAAAATGTGAAAAGATCATGTAGCTTACATCTCCAAGCTAGAAAAACTTATTTTTCAATATTCAGGTCAATTTTCTAAAACTAAAGACTTTTCAGATTGTTTTTGGCTTCTTGCCAAATATAAATTTACTTTCATATGACTTTTCCACAGTTGTGTACAGAATCAATAGGTCTCAAATATTTATTCACATAAGACATCTCACCAACCATTGCTTTTTTGCCACCTGAAGCTTGTTTTCTTCAGGTCACTCTATTCTTTGATGTGTTTTGGGCATCGTTTTTCCTAAGCCTTTTTCATAATATAATAATGTAACAAAATCAGATTATTCTGTGAAAAGAATATAATTAGTTCAATGAACAAACTAAAACTTGTTCATCTCCACACCAAAATTTCCTTCCTCTGCCTTAACAAATCAAAGATGCACATGAGTTGAATCTCGAACAATCTCGTATAATGAGATCACGTTTTCAATACTCAAAAGGCCAATGATGCACCATTCCAACAAATCTGACTTTCTATTCTGGAGGACTTCTTGAAGAAAATGAATGTTATGCTGCAACCAACAAGCAAATTTATGAGAGAAGAATTAAACATTTTCTACCTCACCAAATATTATCTCCAGCAAACTAAAAATGCTTTCTTTCAGTGCAAAACGTAAAAAGTTGATGGCAGATACGTTTAGGAGACTTTTTTTTTTTTGGTAACTATTGCAGTTTCTTAGAGAAGTTATAACTTCCTAAAGTAGTTTTATGGTTTTTGTTGGTGTTTCTTTTATATGTTGCTTTTGTATGGGGGATATCTTCTGTGTATTTCTTAAGTGTGGAGAGTTAGATGGCCCTCTCGAATAGGCCATCCACTGGTTGATTTGTGTTGTGAATTTTAAGGTTGTTCTTCAGAGACTAGAGAGAATCCTATCACATTCTAAAATAATTTATATACAGCTCCGAAAAGCTCACGCTAGAGCATTAAACTTCACTCCAAGAAATATGAGAAGCTAGCTCTCTCAAATTGGCACTGACTTTCATCTATAAGGTGCATTCACTCCCTTTGAGCTCAATAACAATAAATAACAGATCGTACTCCTAACACAGAATTATATCAATCATGAATAACGATTTTACATTCTAATTTGTGAAAAGATGTGGAGGATTTTAACAACTCCACTTTTCATTTTCTCTTTAGTAGGTAGCATTTATTTGTAAAATTTTTCTTCCATATACAAGTCACCTTGTTTTTTTGTAATTCTGTTAAATCAATGAATCACGCGCACAATAAAAGGAGTATTAAATAAATAAAATAGAAAAGTTTTCATATCACCATATGGATCATGTCTCCTCAACACATTTGCCTTCGCATATAATGGAAAAGGATAATATTTCTTTCATCTTCGATATTGTCCAGGCTTTTATAAAAAAATGAAATAGAATCAACATTACCTCCACAAACTTTAATTTGAAATCAAGATTTCCGAAGCGCTGGGTGACTTCATACTCTTCCCTAAGGTACTCATGTATTTGAGCATACTTTGCATCCCTCCATGCAATTTCTGATCTGAGTGGCAAAAGAAAGGACAGATGAAAGGGAAAGTTAGGATGAGTAATTTTCCGAACTATTACTCATGTCAACACCCCACTAAAGAAAAATTATGATTGAATAGTACATCATTATATGAACTAAATGCATAACAAAAGAAAGACGTGGTAAGAAGTGAGGAGAATAAGAAGATAAGAAGTGTCCCGTTTTGTTTACTTATACCAAGCTTGATAGGTAGAATTTGCTATGCCACGATCTTGGTTCTGTTATGTTGTCAAATAGAATTATGAAAAATAATGTTTCCTAGGGCCAAGTACATAGCAATGACTAAATGCCTTAAGTTATAACAGAAGCTTTAAAGAGGATCTAGACAAACAGATGCACAGTTATAATCCAATCCTTGGTGCTGGATGTCACAATTGCATCAGAAAGTTCCCTTTGATCTTTAAAAGGCCTAATGAATTCTTTGGCAGGACAGATCTGTTTTCATCTAACATTTTTGTGGCTTCATGGTGTCTTCCATACTTCTGTTTTAGCATTATCGAAGAAACTATTGGATCATATATTTTTGTATTTTCCTTTGCGCTGGAGGCTTGTCTTTCATTACSTTTTTTTTTATAACCAGGAGTCGGAGCCTTACTCCCCTATACTTGAGGGCACACACGCAATCCCCAAAGCTCAGACCTGGGAGGGGTGGTCTTCCATTATTTGGAACTGTGCAGCTCGGCTCTTTTTTTCTTTCTTTAAAGAAAAGAAAATGGCAAATATGGTCCGATGAGCATCAATCTTGAAACACTTAAGAACTAGAAGGAATCTCACAGATAATGAAACAGAGGAATGGGTTAGGCGGTATATGCTAGCCTTGGTGAAGCCTTTAGAGAGGGAAGATAAAAGAATCTCGAGTTGAAGCAGATGTAAAAGAATCTGTTTTAGCCTTTCGTAGGTGCTTCTCGGTGCAATTCTCGACTGATAAGCTCACTGGGTATTGCAACACTATTTAACATCTTCATTGTATTATGAAAGGTTATTTGTAACCTCTTGGGATTTTGATTCATTTCTGTACCACACTATCATACTCAGGAAGGGGTATTGTACTTCGTAACTTTTCACTATTTTGATTCATTTCTGGGGAAAATCAGATTCATGTATTCTTCTTTTGTCCATTGGCCACTTCTTGTTGGATTAAATTCCTCCAGCTCTTTTGGTTATTATGAGTTTGGGACAATCGGGTTCCTTCCAACATCCAGCAATTGCTTAGTGGAGTTGAGCTCAATCCCCAAGCTCACCTTCTTTGGGTAAATGGCATCAAAGCTCACATTTCAGAATTATGGTTTGAAAGAAACCAAAGGGTTTTTGAAGGATAAAGAAGATCGCATTCGGATTGTTTCAACATTGCCAAGTTCAAAGCCTCACAATGGTGTGCTCTTTCCGATTTATTATCTAATTACTCACCTAGTATGATTTGTATGAATTGGGAGGCATTCATAACTCCTAGTTAACTTTGCTTTGTCTTCGATTATGTTGTCTTGTTATTTGTCTTATTTTATTTCTCTTTTTCACTCCTCATGGAGTTTAACTTTGAACAATTTTGTTCATTTTCATCTATCAATGAAAAGTTCGTATCTTTTTTAAAAAAAAAACAGATGGTTCTATTTCTAATTTTTCTTTTGAAAAAAAGCTTCAACCAAGAAAGCAAGCAGCAAGCAATATTTTGATAGAACCTCCAAATATATTGAAGTATGTAGAGACTAAGGTTGGAGAGAATCCAATGTGATGTATTCTCATTATTAAAGTCTATATATATAGACAAATATACACAAATATACAAGGTTGACCTAATCCTATAAGGATAAGGTAAAAGACAAATTAATATTAATACAAGAATATAAAATATACTAATATCTATACTCTAACAAAGTATAAAAGATAAATGAACTACAATCTCTACCAAGTATTAGAGGTACTTGGACCCTCCCCGCTTGAGATATCACTCAAGCCTAAAGCATACTCACTAATCGGATATCTTCATTCTTACACCCTCACTCTATTTATAATATTCTCCCTAACAACTTCCAAGTACCTCTAATACTTGGTAGCGATTGTAGTTCGTTTATCTTTTATACTTCAATAAATGTGGAGGTTCTATCATATTTAAGTGATAGGAACAAAAGGTTTCGACTCCAACAAGGTTTTAATCGTCATGGGTGGTTGCCTAAAGATCCCAAAGGTAAATCGAGAGGTAGACCTTGGTTTGACATTGCTAAAACTTCCCCTTTCTTTATTAATCAGTTGGCCTTCAAACTACGGAAAGGTAGCTGGATCAGATTTTGGCTTGATAAATGGAATGGGGAGGCAACCTTAGCAGAAGATTTCCCAGACTTGTATGCCATTTCCCTTAAAAAAGAAGCAGTGGTGGCAGATTGCTGGAGTAATGTGTATAAAACTTGGGATCTAGGCTTTCGAAGAGGTTTATTTGATAGAGAATTGGAATGCTGGACGAGAATGGTTCAACGTTTGGAGGTTTTCGTGTTAGAAGAAGAATCAGATGCTGTTATCTGGCCGCTGGAACAGAATGGTCGTTTCACCACGAATTCAGCCTATATGAAATTAAGAGAAACCCCTCCCAAATTAAAGTCCTCCCTGATAACTTTCATTTGGAAGGACCCTATCCCGAAGAAAGTAAAGGTTTTCCTATGGTCTTTGGCTCACCGAGCACTGAACACTCATGAGAAACTTCAAAGAAAATGCCCGAAATGGTCTTTGTCTCCATCAGTTTGCTGTCTTTGCTGGAAAGGTGCAGAGACTTTGGATCATTTGTTTCTTCACTGCCCTTTTGTTTTAAAAGGTTGGCAGCTTCTATTTCAATGTTTTGACAACCAATTATGTATGCCTAAAGACGTGGAGAGCTGGTTATTAGAATGTTTTCACGGTTGGCATTTCAATGGAAAGGCTAGAGTTTTGTGGAGATGCACTTTCAGAGCTTTTCTTTGGAATGTTTGGATGGAAAGGAACGAACGCTCCTTCGAAGACAAAGCTAAGTCTTGGGATTCTTTTTGTAATAGTGTGTAGGTTTTAGCTTCTTCGTGGTGCATTAGAAATTCGAAATTCTTCTGTAATTACAGCCTCTCTCTGATTTTACAAAATTGGAGAGTTTTTTTGTGATTAGTTTCTTTTTTGGAAGGGCTGTCTTGGCCCCCGTCCTTTAGGCTGTTCCTGTTCTACTGTTCTTCTTATGAAAGTGTTTCTTATCCAAAAAAAAACAAGGTTTTAATCGTTGTGTTCAATCTACACCATTCTCTTCATAGTTTGTTTGGAAGAATTACACAACCAAATAACAAAGATCGGACAGCCTTTGAACAACTACACAGAAACACTTATATAAAATTGACTGCAAGAAAGCAAAAGGAAAGTTGGTGAAAAAAAAAGAGGCATTCCCATTAGACTCCCGATGTTAAACCCATTCCAGCATCCAGAAGTGGCTTCCAAAAAAAAAAAAACTACTTTTGGAATTCAACAAAAAGATTCAAACCCCATTAATTTGTAGACTTAGAAGGCATGTGGCAGTCTTTCTCACAAATATCCAAGCTATGACCCAAAAATAGAGTGGACTAAACCAATTTTATATGATTGTGAGAAAATTTAAGTCCAAGACCAACAACCTTCTAACTCCCAATAGAATAAATTAAGGCAGGCTTCAAAATTCCACTTGAAGGATTATGACTCATTCTTCAGAAAACAAAACCAGACTACAAGAGTCCAAGAACCTTTATGGAAGATAAATCCCAAGCAAAATTGATAATGGTAATTGATAGCAATTGAGTGCATGGATAAAGAAACAACTTGGAAACTATGAAGCATGGAAAAACTTAAATTCCGGATACGTGTTCGACGAACATTCCAACACCAGTACATGTGTTGTGAAAGACGTGTAAATGCATAAATATTACTGACTTAAGTTTTCTTTTGGTGATAGGACGTTAATTTATTTAGAAAGTTGATAAGTTGGTTATGATGTATCTTGACCATTTTAAGATAAAACGTATGTCCCTGGTGTTTATTCTGGAAACATTCTCACTCCTTCCATGCAACATTCTTCACGTCGAATTTACCTGGTCCATGTGACCAACGTAAATTTGCACAAATTCAGAGGTTCTATGTACAAGAAAGTATTTCGAACAGGCCTCTAATGGTAAATTGGTTGGGGCGGGCCTGGTTATAGGGGAGCAAAGCTCCGATTCCCAATTATTAAAAAAAATCATAATAAAATAAAAAATCATAATAATAATATAATGGTAAATTGGTGGAAGAAGCTGTTTTTCAAGAACCAGCTAAAAAACTTTAGAAACTCATGAAAATTCAAGTACAAGGATAAAAGTGACTTTGTGACCTAATTACTAAGGTAGGAAATTTTGTACAAGACAAACCTCATACTTGGTCAACTATGCACAAAGACTTATTTGTTTCCTTTTTTTTTTCCCTTAATGGAAAACCAAACTTTGAAAGAAAATACGGCATACAAAAAAACCACACCCATATAATGGAGTTCTTGAAACTAACCATGCAGAAGAGGACACCAATCCAAAATAATAAGGCAATTACAAAACAGTTTAGAGACGGATGCCCAAACGGAAGAGTTGAACGAACCATATCCAATACCTCTCTCCAACACCTCTCCACCCCTCTAAGGATTCTACCATTCCTCTCAAGCGAAGCACTCCATAAAATAGTAAAAAAAAAAATAAAAAAAAAACATGCATGCCACAGAACCTCCTCCATCATATCACACTTCTTTGTTAGTTTTAGATGGGTATTTCGAAGGCCTCCAACAACAAACAAGGTCAAAGAATTATAGGAGAGGAATGTGTTTTTAATTTTGTTAATTTTTTTGTAGTGAAGGTGATTAAACAATGCCAAAGAGTATGGAGGATGAGTTCCTTCTTTTTTATGATTTTTTTTTTTCTTTTTTTTTGTCTTTTGCTGAATATTTTGATGGAGAGGTTGAATTCTTACTAGTTCAACCACGTGAAAAGTTTTAATATTACTTACGATATTCCACCAAAAATAAAAATTGGGACCATACTACATGTAAGAAATCTACGCAAGAAACCTTTTATTATTGTCATTCCATAATCTATCAAGCACCATCGTACTAAATTAAACACTAATTTTAACTATAATATAAAAATTAGGCAACGTAGGAAACATATATGCTAATATCAATTATCCTGGTGTTACCTTTCGAAAAGACCAACTTTGAGAATTACATCTGCTAGATTTGAATTGGCCTTTCCAACAAGTTGAAGGAGCTTCTTCTTATCCATAGTGAATGTTCCTGTTTTCTCCATTTTACGATTTATATCTGCAAACTCTTCAACCAAACTATCAACCTGAAAAGGAAAGGAGATAATGTTACATGTACCACAAGAAAGCATGTTTTGAGAACATATACAAGCACTAAAAATTGGTGTTTACGATTGTAAGGCCAAACCCAGACCCAGAGATTTTAGATTTAGAAATTTCATGAGCAAGCATCATAACCTCCATTCTTCCAAAATAGCTACAAATAATGTCAAACGTGAAAGGAAAACTTGATGGAAATCTAAGCTGCCAATCCTGTTCTTGGAGGAGAACCATAAGTAATATGCTTGACGGAGTTAGAGAGGAGTAAGTTAGAACAATGTGATAGATTCACAATGATTTTCAATTTCAAATAAGGAAAGCTGCTGTAACCATGGGAGGATAGGACTATAGGAGAGCATAAAGAATGTGAGAGAGCTAGAAGTAAGGACGTTCAAAGAAGTACAGAAGAGCAGTTAGCTCTTGGAGAGACACCAGGCTATCAAATTCCAAAATTTGATTGGACTTACTCCAGATTTGTGCTAATGGAAACTAGTTCCCTTGAAACTTCTCTGGGAGGTCCATGTTTGAATGTGTGTATTGAATATGTATGCACGCCAAATTACCTGTGATACAAAGTAGTCCAAGGCAATGCTTTGGCCAAGCACACTTCCAATAATCCGGACACCATCAGTGTCTAAACTTTTGAGAACAATGTAATCAGGACCTCCCTGCATATCCTCGACCAAATATGGCTTCTCTTTCACAGCATAATCTATCACAAAGTTAGTAGAAAAAAGAATTATATTAACTGAAAAACCTACTAGTCAAAAGAATGCGAGAAAAATATCAACACACACATACAAGTTTTATAAATCATTCTCAAATAAATGTAGTAAATGCTGAAACCACGTATCATAGGCTGAAAACTAGAAATTCCATTCAACATCTATCTCAATCATATGGAGTTTGTGGGCAGTGGCTCCAAGTAGCTAATGAATCTGTGTTTAAAATAAACGTTTTTATAAGTAGTATACAAGATTTGATAAATAATCATCACAGCAGGGTGATGCAAAATCCGAAAGAGGACAAGCAATACTTATGTATCCACGATTAACCATGTTTGCCTATGATCTACCACTATCACATCAGTCAAGAATGAGCAGGCAGGGAGAAAAATGGTAACTTAGCAATTGTGTATAAACATCATATAAATATGCATGCAATGCAAGTACAATTCACGTCTACTCAGTATATTCTAAGTACCCTAATCCATGATACATATACTCTTGAAAGAATGATCAAATGCACTATTACAGTGGTACATCAGATATAGGAATGTCATTTGCGAGGTCCCAGAGAAAAAGCATAAAAAATTTGGACATTCAAAATGAAATTACCATCCTTCTTTATTTCTGGAAGCAAACCAGAAGCATGTCTTCTGACCAAATCTAGATAACTTTCAACTTCGTGATCCTCAATGTTAAAGAGAACAGCAGAACCATATTGGAATACAACCATGTATCTGCAGCAACTTGAGTGCCCTTTAACTCGAACATCCTAAAACATGAGTTCCAGATACAAAAAAACTTGAGTCTTAAACAATAAAATTGAGGCCAGTACTCTAACGAACACTTTTTTTTTATGCCACGGATCGCTTGAATATATGAACACATTTTTATTCCATGGATTGCTAGAATATATGAACTCGCTTGTCACCTCTGATCTGTTAGGTATGAGAAATTTTATGTTTATGTTATTATGGTTGAGTTAATGGCAGTTACTATTTTATATTGGCTTGGATTATTCATGGTTAATAACAAAAATTTAACAGTTCCATTATTATACAGAATTATATTAGTGCAATTGATGGCACACGTATCAATGCATTGCTAATAGAAAAAGAACTAGTTTTACAGGGCATAAAATCATTGTGACCCATAATGCGATGCATGCATGTGAGAGTGACTTTGGCATGAGATTTTCTTTTATTTTTACAGGGCATAAAATCATTGTGACCCATAATGCGATGCATGCATGTGAGAGTGACTTTGGCATGAGATTTTCTTTTAATTATGTCGGCTGGGAGATGACTGCAAATGATTTCAGAGTTTTTTTAATGCTTTGGCCAGAGTAGAAATAAGTAGTGAGCAAACTCCTCACCAATTAAGTAGTGCTCCCAAAACCCATACCAATGTGTTTTAAGTCACTCGCAGGCATTAGGTGTCAGGGTCTCACAATCTTCAACTATGCAACCATGAGTCAACCAATCGCAGTTCTACTTTTTTTTTTTTTTTTGATAAGAAACTTGTATGTATTAAACACAAAGGAAGAAGACAGCCTATGGGCAGGGATGAGGAAGTCCCCTCCCAAGAGACTAAAACAAACCCGCTTTCCAATCTTGCATGAGTATCATAGGCTATAACTACAAAAGAATTTTTTGGAGTTTAGGCACCACATGGAAGAAGAACATTAATCCAAAAAGAATCAAAAGGAAGAGAGAAGTTGTTGAAGACCCTCTGGTTTCTTTCTCCCCACAACCCCCAAAAAATTCCTCCAACTGCGTAGCTCCAGAGGATCTTAGATTTGTTTTTAGATGCCACCCCTGTAAAGCCTCTAACAGCCGATCATCAGCTGAATTGGGCATGCACAAAACTAAGCCAAAAACGTTAGACAAAGCAATCCAAAAATTGGTAGCCATCGGACATCAAATAAAGGGCGGTCTAAACTTTCCTCATCTTTTTAGCAGAGGCTGCACACCAAGGGAAAAAGGACCACTAAGGAAGCTTTCTTTGAATCTCTCATTAAGTGTTTAGTAGTGCTACTTTTTCCTCAACCTCTTTTCTTTTCAAGAGTCTCTTTTGGATTTGTTATGCGTAAGACAAGGTTCCTCCTCTTGACTAAGAGCCCATTTTCTTGTACGTTTGCTGGTGTCTTGATTACTAACTCAAAGTATCCATCCGCATAAGACTCTGAACCTTAAGTCCAAGCCACTCCCTAGCCTTAAAATAAGGTTTTTAACTTTTGATTTAAAGGAGGGATGTTAAAAAGGCTGGATAATATATGCAATATTCCAATGTTAATTTGACACATTAACGTGGAATGGTTTACAGTGTTTAGAAGATGGATATGTGCCACATATTAGGATTAGGATATAGTCAGCCATATGTTGGAAAAAGTTTGAAGCATGGTGAACTTTAATTCTTCATTTTGTACTTCGGCTGCTAAAAGCTTAAGAATACTGTACCTGTTCTATCGTTTACAATTGGGGGCCTACCCGTTGAAATCTTAGTTTTCAGCAACTACTATTTTTCGTCGAATTTTCTTGTTGTTTTTGGAAGTTTTATTTAGTTTTCATGTGATCGTATTGCTTTAGTATATGACGGAGGATAATGATGCGGAAAAGAAAAACAAAACAACACAAATCACCATTACGTGGAATGATTAGGATGACCATTGACCAATAACTTGGACAAAGCATGATTTCCAAGCATGATGAATGAATAAAGAAAATATACATATGTTTGGACTTCTTACAGAGGTTTCTGGAGGGAAATCACTGTATCTCAGGGCGATATAATTCGATGAGCGGGAGGTAGGAGGGACAACGTTGCTTAAATTCTCAGACTGCATATTCTTCAAATTTATACTGCCAAAATCATGAATCTGAGAAACACAAATCACCGATGACCAGGAAAAAGTAAAAGAAACAGACACGCAGCAGGAAGTCGGCAAGAATTGCGTCTAATTTTAAGAAGTTCCAGGAGCCAGTAGTGTAAGATACAAGTATACACAAGAGAAGTAGACCCACCAAGATAATCAGCGACAAATAGATTAATTCAAACGTGATTCAGTGGCAAACCTGGTGCAAAGAAAGTAAGCTTTGATGGGAATTTTCCCAGTTTCGTCCTCTTCTTGCCCCTCGGAATCATAGGTTTGATCGGAAGCTGAAAACTCGGATTCAAATTGGCAGCCAGCAAACGAAATCGGAGATGCAACGGCAGAAAATGAGCTTGGACATTGAAAATTAAACACAGGATTTGAAAACCGCAACAGATGAGGATGACGTCTGGAATCGCCAAAAGGGACCCGAATTGGAGATTTAGAATGTAGAGATATGCGGCTCAGGAAAACAGAAGCAGCTCTCCTCCAGCCCATTCACTGGAATAGGATTCAGTAATCAACCGCGTCTCTGATTCTTACATGGGAAACCTGATTCTAAGGACGCCATGTTCATATGGGAGAATTCTAGTAGAAACGAGGGGCATGGGCATTTCTCACAGATCCCTACTCCGATAAAGTCCCGAGTTTCATTGTAAGGAAGGGAACGAATTCTAATAGAGGGAGCTTAAATTTTATATCATAAAGATTGCCGCCATATGTTAGGGTTTTTCTGAATTTTTATATTATAATAATCTATATTGTTTAAATTTCAAGTTCTTTGTACTAAAAAATATATATATATATGCAAGTTCTTTCTCAGTACAACGAGGATGTAGATTTGAACTCACCATTTTTTTTAATCAGAAATAGGTGCTTTAATACTTTGGTATCTAAAGCGCAAGTTATGATGATAGATCTTAATTCTAAATTTTGTATCATACTTGTTCACTTGTGTCTAAAAATTCATAACTTATGTTAGAGGGAAAAATACAACATCACACGTGAACCAATCAAATCAGTTCGACAAGTTCAAATATGTCCAACAAGCCTAAGAGAGAAGTCCAACCTACTGTCTGAGCTGAGCTGATAACCAAACCTACAAGAGATCAACCAAGCACTCTTCAACCAGCCTTAAGCCCAACAACTCGCAACCATATGTCGAAGCGGTTCCAATGTTCACCCCCCCTCCTATCGCCTATAAAAGGAACACTCATTCACATCATTCGGGCATGCTACTTTATCCGACTACAACCTATAGTAGCTCAAACCTCTACTGACTTGAGCTTTAGTGTGTTTGTTCCCTTTATGCAGGTCACTCCTCGCGCAGCTTGCTCCGGTTCAACGCAAGTCGATATATCCAGCTCATGTAGTAAAATTCAGCATCAACATTTTGCACCGTCTGTGGTAACCTACGTAAATAAAGCTTTTGTCATTTAGAAAAAGCTTATGGCTCCTAAGGTTCAAGCAACCACAATGAATACCTTAATCTGCTGAATAATGGCAGATAGGAGAAAGAGGCCCCCAAACCTCCCAAAGCCATTAAGTCGAGAACTCGAGCTGAGCTAGAAAAACTAAATCTACTTTGGTAGAAGAAGTCTCATCCTTTGACCTTCGAACATAGATCGCTCAAATGCATGTTGGGTTTTTATGCCCTAAACTCGTGGTTTGTAAATGTAAAATATTCAATAAAGCTGTTATTGAAGTTCCTTTTAGAATTGCATTAACCCAAATCCAATAAACTAACATCCAAGGTTATGTCATGTAACTGGAACAGTATATAACTGATATACAGTATATAGTTGATATACATGGTATATATTTGATATACTAGTGGATAATGTTCGAGTAATAACCTAAAGGGTCTATAGTATATGGGTAAGGTTGGGTACCTTATCTTGGTAACACTATGGATAAAACTCACTTTGTAAGAGTTACAAATGACTTAATCCAAATTGTTCATGTGGAGACATGTGAGGGGAGGTATCATATGTAATGAGTTTGTATAAGACCGGACTGCGAAATAATTAATCTTTAGCTATAACACCATTAACTAATAGATTATTATTTCATAGGAAAACCAGGTGATTCAATCTCAATCTTGAGTGAGTTACGGACTTCTGGTTATAAGAGATCGTTCTTTGATTTGTATGGGTGAGAGTGGCCTTAGTTGCGGACTCAATATTCCTACAATTTTGGGGACGAGACCAAGCGGGAAGCTGGGAACATAAATACACAATATGGAATTCACTTTTTTCCAACTAGGATAAGTAGACGAGTGTTCTCTTAAGTGCTAATTCTAGGACATAAACAAGGGGCCCCACCCTCTCACTGGCCCGAGAGGGACTTCTGTTTAATGATTAGACCATAAACAAGTTGTTCATTAGAGGATCAGTGATACTTAAGGAGAAAAGAGGTAACTTAGGGGTAAAATGGTAATTTGACCTAGCTGAAGTTACAAACACGTATGAAAGATTGACTTACTGTTAATGGTCAATATCTATTGACACAACATGTTCTACAGTGCATAAGAGTGCAGCTACGGGTCTTTAGTGGAATGTCTCATAGTTAATGAATGTTGATTAATTTAATTAATGAGTTTAATTAATTAATGTCAGATCATTGGAGCTTTGTAGGTCCATTAGGTCTCTCACTAGCTCACAACAGGTAAAAAAATTATCAAAATTTTTTTAAAGAGTTTGAATTATTCAATTTATACGAGGGAATGTAGGTTAATTGTATAAGATACAATTAATATAATGTGTGTGGGTACCTTTATAATGTATATGGATATATTGTAATCTAAAGTAAATTTTGAATGAGATTCAAAATTAAACTTCATAATACAAGAATTATATTTGAATAAGATTCAAACAATGATCAACATGAATTCGATTCATATTAAAACTATAGGTTAATATTAATATGTATGAGATTCACATTAAAACTATAGGTTATAAGAGAGATACATGTATTTCAATATGATTCAAATAAAGTATTAATTAAATACTTGATATTTAATCAAAGTTAATTAATTAATTTGATAAATTGATTAATTAATTAATTATTATTTAATTAAATTAAATTATATTATATTTTGATTTAATTTAATTAAATAACCTAGTTCATTGTATTTTACAAGGAAGTGGGAAGTTTATGAGTGGGGAAGTTTGCAATGGATTGCATTTTGGTGGGGTTGATGAGTTTTTGGGGGTGATTTTTTGTTGAAAAGCGAAACCACACTTCTCTCTAAAACTAGCTCTCTTTCTCAAATCCAAAAATTCTCTCACTTTCAAAAGTCAGTTCCCACAAATCGTCCCTTGCCAAGAGAATAGCGGGGAAGGCTTTTTGGTAGCATTCGGATTCGACATCGTCGTTTTTTGAAGAAGTATCTTCAAAAGTAGGTTTCTCTACTTCCCTTTTACAATGCTTATATGTTTCCTTTCTTGTATTTCTAAAACAAGATCAAAGCACAAGTGTTCACGCGCTTCTACTGTGAGATTCGATCCCTTTAATGCAAGCATGGGTGGAATGTCTTGCCGCAAGCCTTACCGAATGTTGGGATGCCACTCCTAGAGTTGTCTGAGCTTGAGATCCCTCACGATTCCAGGAAAGGCAAGCAGAAGGTGGGTGACCATCTGACCAAGTAAGGTGCCCACCGACCAGTCAAAAAGTTGGTTCTCGGCGGTAATGATAGATCATGGCCCAAGAAGGATCTCCAGTCAGTTCTATCTGTCCGACCTTCCCAGGGAGGGGATGAATATTTACAAGACACAATCATCCAAAACTGAGCTTAGAGATAGAATAAGCTCGAGAAGCAACATCCTGAGGAATCTATAGGCAATCTGAGTCTACCAATGGAGTTCGACCAACTGTAGAAAGAGCTGGTCAGCGAGGTCAAGGGCGACTTGAAGAAGATAAAAGATAAACCTACTTCGAATGATGACGAACTTAAAGAGCCACCCTTCGTTCAGGTTATTCTTGACTTGTTGATCCTGCAAAGGAGATGCTTGCCAACCTTTGACAAGTATTATGGCTCCACCGACCCAATAGATCAGGCGGAGGCCTTCAAGTCCATCATAGACTTCCAAGCATACTACGATGCAATGAAATGCAAGGCTTTCTCCATCACCCTGCAAGGATCCACGAGAAAGTGGTACAGGCTACTTACGCCTTACTCAATCTTTACATGGTAACAGCTACGAAAAGCATTCATATCTCAGTTCGTAGCTCATAAGGACACCAAATATTCAGACACCTACTTCCTCTCCATTAAGTAGAAGTCCCAGGAATCCCTGCGGAATGACATTAAAAGATTCCTTGTCAAGAAGATCAAGGTGGAAAATTGCACTAGCTTTTTTGCCCAAACAACATTTGTAAAGGGGTAACCTATGAGAAACTGAGCTAGTCCTTAGCAAAGAAGCTTGAGCGCACTTTGAAAGGCTGCCTTGACCAAGCTAGAAAATTTATCAAGGCAGAAGATATCATCTAGTCTGATGATAATGTCCTACCGACGTAACTCGTCGTCGAAGTCGAAGGACAAGGATAGAAAGGACAAAGATAGAAAGGACAATAGGTTTAGCTCGTCTCATCGACTAGAGAACAATCTACACAATGAGTAGAGATCAGAGCGACCTGAGAGGTACAACAAGTTCACACATCTCAATGTCCCGATTGTCGAGATCTTGGCAAATATCTAAGACTTCAAGCTCGACCTATTGAAGGATCCAAACCCACTACGCCATGATCTAGACAAACGTGATAGGTCAAAGTACTATCGTTTCCCCTAAGTCCACGATCACCACACCTCGGACTGCTACGACCTAAAAGAGCAGATGGAAGACCTTATCTAGCGAAGCCACTTTAAGAAGTTGTGGGCAAGAAAGACTGAGGTAGCAGCTTGAAAGGTTCTGAAATCAAGCAAGAGGAGAAAATGGAGGAAAAGGGAGAGTTCAAGGACCGTTCCAAAGCACGATGAATGACTTTCCGTAATCAACACGATCCATGGAGGACCAAGTGAGTGCCAATCTAGCCACAAGCTAAAGTAGCTCGCTCGTGAAGCTCGGTATGAGATTTGCACCTTGTAAGCAATGCTAAAATCCTGTCCCATCACCTTCTCGGATGTCGACCTCTAGGGTGCCCACCACCCTCACAGTGACGCTTTGGTCATAGCTCCACATATTGACCATGTTGTTGGACATGTTATAGTCGACGGCGAAGCCTCTGCCAACGTACTTTCTCTATTAACCTAACAACTCTCGGGTGGGGTAGAGCTCATTTAAAGAAAAGCTTGACACCTCTGGTTGGATTCACAAGAGAGAGAGTCACCTTTAAAGGTTGCATTGACCTCCCCATCATGCTCGACAAAGGTGATGCTCGGGTTATCCAGGTCGCAGAGTTTGTGGTCATCAACTACAGGTCGGCCTACAATGCCATCTTTGGCCGACCAATTTTTCATGCTTTGCTAGCCATCCCTTCAACTATCCACCAAGTCATGAAGTATCTGACCTCCAAGAGGGTTGGAAAAGTTCAAGGAGAATAGAAGTCCTTGAGGGAGTGATATGTCCCCGCCCTCAAAGGTTCGTCCACATGCGCGGCCAATTTTGAGAAGTTCGAGCTAGACGGAGATGATCTCCATCAACAAATGAACAGCAACTGAAAAGCTCGAGCTTGTCCCAT